TTAACTTTTAATCTATAAAAGTTAGAGGAAATTAAATCCGATAGAATGAAAGAGAATCCTTTAATCTATAATTGTATCAGTTTACTTTTTCAGTTTAACATAAAATTTTAATGAGTTATTGAAGTTTAAAAATACCCAATTTTCATTTGATGAGTATAGATGCGCCGCACCATATCACTGACACTTTTATAATTAAAATTCCACCCCCACGTGACCGGTGACATTTAATGGGATATGAAAAAAATAATTTTGCGAGGCAAAAAAAAACTAAGTCCCTCAGATAAATATAAACAGTGAAAACGCGGTGGGTGTGATGCCGGTGATGAATATTACAAAATCACGTGGGGTGGAAAAAGTGTCGGTGATACTGGGTAAGATGCCGATATGGTTAAAGTATAGGATTGTGACAGATGCGGAAAATGGTACTTCATAGAACGTACGCTAGACAGTGAAAGGAAACCTTGTTCAAATTGTCAAAGCTCTTATTTGCTGTAAAAAAAAAGATGGAGATGTGGATGCTTAAGAAACGTTTTATTAATTCTGAATTTTTGACCCGAATACTCACGTGATTTTCTATCGTGAAGATTCTTCACGGTTGCATCTATGATGTAATAATGCGACAACGTACGTGTTTTAATGGATAACCTAGTTACATACTCTATCGATTCGGAAATTAAAAAAATAAATGTGCCGTAACATTAGTTAGATGAGAAAACAAGCAATTGTCTGCATATACTCAGTTTTACGTGCATTAAAAAAAAGGAAATTGTGATCAAAGATGTTCACTGTAAATGTGACTGAGTGAATGCAAAAATATAAAGGTAGCGAGTCAGAAGTATTGTTTTATCTTCTATCTCTGCTAATTTTTATTTGATTGTTACAATTTTCAATAAATGCTAATTTACAACTTTACTATAATTAATTAATGAAGTGTGCAATTTGCAATATTAAAACTATATAAAAATTAGTATGTAAACGACTAATTTGACAGACGCAGTAATGCAATGTGATAATGGTTCCTACTCTTTCATTATTTCACCTTTCCAGTTTCCCATTCACTAACAACTGTCCAATCTTCATTCGTTGTAATTCCTTCTTTATTACGCTTTAGGCAACGGGCTGAGACAAAAGCTACTTTATCACAGAAGGCTATGCCAACTTCAACTATTTCCTTAACATGATCTGGAAGACTCATCCGGTAACCCTTGTCAAAAATTTGATATAGTGCATCTGTGGTGTCTTGTTTCATTATAAGGAAGTCTACAACATCAGAACGCTTAAATTCATACGTTATGCTAACGGTTTTATTTTGGATAATTGGAATGATTCGGACATCTGGACGGCCAACCCCAGCTTCGAGATTAGATTCAACCCGGTATTCAACACCATGATACATAGCGAGTGCTCCGAGAACAAATATATGGTACCAGGTTTCATATAATTTACCTCTTTTGAGATCAGCAATATCAAAACAAGACACTACCTCCATATAAAGCGATGGAAATTTGATACAAAATGTAGCAATATCTTTTTTAAACAATGATTCGTATATTTCGTTTGTCTTCGCATATTCCATACCGATAACCTCAAAAATCCACAAAATCCATTGGCATGCTACCTCTCTATTTGGGATTACTAGTTTAACATTTTTCACAGTATGACCAACCAAAGATCCTGGAACCATAGTCAAGTAACCACTATAGTATAATAAAGTACATAATGAGTTTATCTCTGGCTTCGTATCAAGGTCATTGTATCGGAGATATGGCATTAATTCCACATCTAGACTTACTACAGACTCATCTTGACCTACAGACTCAACCACATCTTTATCCTTACAGAAGGAATGGGAATGGATTATATTCTAGAGCCGATCTTTGACTCCTGACCCGCACTTTTTTAGAATTTCTACAAGTGTATTTGTAGAACCGCTATAGATCCAATAATTATCAATTTCATCTTTGTCTAGAAACGATATTACTGAATGTGGGTTGTAAATATAAACTACAGTGCTCGTTCGGTATACATTATAGTAAAGGCGTAGTTCATCAAGTTTTTCATTTTGTTTTTTTTCTTCTAGCAAATACTTAATTTCATTTTCGGTGAATCCAAATGTATCAGAGAAAATAGCACGGCCAGAACAGCTTGGTTTTTCATGCATTGGATAGACCACTACATTGTTAAATCCGGAAAGAAAGCTTGTTTGTCCTAGTGGGAGAGTCCCAACAAACAGGACCTTATCCACGTAAGTATTTTCCTGCATAGAAATTTTGTAGTTTTAACAAGCATGTATGCAATCAGTTAATTACAATACATATGCTTACCTTAGCTACACTTGAGTACATCGTTTTAAAAAAATCGTGAACATTATCATAAAATCCTCTTGCATTTTCCATAGGCCAGTCGTATTCATCGATTAGAATAATGGAACTCTTTCCAAAGCACTTGTTAAGATAACGTGCTAAATTAGAAAGAGCATATGTCCAAGATGCACTATCTTTTGTTTCTTTTCTGAGTACTTTAATAAAATTATCTTTCATATTCATATCCTCTGGAAGAGAGAAAGAGTCAATAAGATATTTATGTTCTTCGTATAGAACTGAAATTCTTTCCTTTATGTCTTCTTGCATTATTTCCCAGGATTTACTGCGAAGATCCTAGTAAAAGTAAGTCTTGTTAGCTATTTATGTAATAGTAGGTTACACCAAGCTTGCTTACCTTGAAGCTAATGTGAATTACGGGCCACTGTTTGTAGTACAACTTAGCAAACCATTCGAATCTAGCAACTTTTAAATTCCCAAACAACAATGTTTTTACATCTGGTACATAATTTAATGGAGGATAATCCGTTGAAAGGAAAGTTTCAAGCATAGAAAGATTGGTTGATTTTCCAAACCGACGAGGGCGAATAATCAGATTGGACCGTTTTCCAAAGATCATGAATTCCATTATAAAAAGAGATTTATCGACGAAAGTACCCGAAGTCACAAACTTTTAAAATTCTGATTCGCCTAGAGAATAGACTACATTGTTGATTATTATGGGAGGTTCATCTAAAACGCTTTGGAATGCTTTATTGTACAATATATGTTAATAAATAATAGTAATTAATTAATTAACAAGCTTTTAAGGAAAAGCTTACCCTCTGATTTATCACTCCATGTCATACTCGACACATCCTCCCCTTCGAGAGCTGGAAAGTGAAGATTAGCATTGTGTTCAGCACAAAAGATAGGAGCTTAAAATTGTTATAACATACCTTTGATTATTTTAGGGCGCTTTTTTGGTGGGTAATAATCTGGAATATCCAATATTAAATAAATAACAGAAATTCGTGCGTCAGACCAAATCGATATTTTGTTACTGCAAATTTCTTGTTCGAGAGGTAAAACGTTGGGAGACACTTACCAGTGTCGGTGATGATGGTGATGATAGAACTTCCAGATTTATTTTTATTATCCAATTCATCTTGAAAATATGTACTAAACGGTTCTTCAAGTTCCATTTCTTTTCCACGAAGTTTTTGAACAATGTCTTCTTCAGTAGAAATATTTTGCTCTTTAATATCTTTACTCTTAACACCAATAACTTTCCAAAGTTTCAAATTGTTTTTGTCGGAATCACCAACTCCTTTAATACCACAGACATGGTCCCTGAGGTGTAAAACTTCGAGTAGGTGTAAGGAGACACTGTCTCTTATACACATCTAGATGTGTATAAGAGACAGGGTATATATATACTTTATATACTTTTCTGAATCTGTCTCTTATACACATCTAGATGTGTATAAGAGAATTCTTATCGTCTTTGCAAATGTTAACCGCATAAACTTGAGGACCATTGCTTGAAAGTATGTAAAGTTTGAATGATATATCCATCTCAATAATATTTCTATAAAATGATAAAATAAGTTTAGATTTTAAGAGAAAGTTGGAGAAAGGTTTCAAGAAAAACTTGAGAAACTTGAGAAAGTTTGAGAGAAGTCTAAGGTATATATATACTTTATATACTTTTCTGAATACATCATGATTAATTATAAAATGATCTTTATAAACTTTTAATTGGAGACACGAAATATGATATAATGATATAAATGATATAAGCATAGTAAAAAAAAAGTTTATAAAATTAACTTGTCGGCAAGCGAAACAAGGTGATTCATACGATTTTATCATTACTCAGATTGCATTCACGAAGTATTTATTAATTCTTCGGTTGTACAACAACAATTAGTAGCCAATAAAATTAATTTTAAATTATGTCATAACGATAAATCTAAAGCGTTTTCTCTGATGTAAGATTTTACGTATACAACTTTTTTTTTCTTATTCCGACCCCAAGCCGTCATGCTATTTTCTCCGAGCATGAACCTATCGCAGTTTAAGAAGTGTTGACGAAAAAATTATTAAAGTCCGGACGAGACACTTCACAATTAAGGTATAAATGAAATATATTTTTTAGGCTGTGACTGTGCATTTGCAAGGGAGTGATTCATAGCTTGTAAAGCTAATCTCTATTTTTTTGTTAAGAAATTTCGAGGACCTTACTATGGAGGTGGGATATTTTCGTACGGAAACTTCAACATTTCTTCTTTTTCCTTAGAATATAGTGTTACAAGATTTTTATATAAACTCGCAATAAAAAAAATAAAATGCTCAGATATTTCCGTACATAATATTCATAAGCTTCAATATTTCTTTAGGAAAAAGACGTTATGGGAGTTGATAACGCCAAACGAAATTTTCTTCTTTTTCTTTTTTATCTTTCTTTTTTCGAATGTAGCAATGGGAATATTATAAACATGTTTGTTTAATAATAAAGTAATAAATTTGAATAAAAAATTTGGAATAATCTTAATAATTTTTCTTTAATAAATTATGTAGTTACAATAAAGAAAGTTTTTATATATGAACCGTGAATAAAATTATAGAATGAGAAGTCTTATGACTCAAGTACATTTTTTTTTATACATTAAATAAAATTATTAATTATGTACATGAAAAAAAAAAAATGCCAAAACAAATAAATGAACCTTAACAGTTACGTATAATATTAACCTTTTTGATTACAAAGTTTACTAATTTACCAGTTCAAATTTTAATATTTTACTCTTTATCTTCTCAACTTTCTTTTCCAGTCATTTGAGTATTTTGAGTAGAGCAAATAATCAAAATTAACCATTTATGGTTTATCAGATAGTCCAGTCCGATTTCAAATGATCNGACTCAAGTACATTTTTTTTTATACATTAAATAAAATTATTAATTATGTACATGAAAAAAAAAAAATGCCAAAACAAATAAATGAACCTTAACAGTTACGTATAATATTAACCTTTTTGATTACAAAGTTTACTAATTTACCAGTTCAAATTTTAATATTTTACTCAACTTTCTTTTCCAGTCATTTGAGTATTTTGAGTAGAGCAAATAATCAAAATTAACCATTTATGGTTTATCAGATAGTCCAGTCCGATTTCAAATGATGTTAACATGGAATTTGATCGACATAAGATCCGGTAATAACGATGTAATAATAGTTAATCTATTGGAACAAGTTCCGATCGCAATATAAAAAAAAATAATATAAAAATACCCTTTGGCAAATTTTTAAAAGAAATTTATATTTTTTTCGTTCTGAAAATTGAAAGTTTCTCTCGTTCAAATCATTTCTTCTACGAATTCCATTGGTTATTTCTTAAGATATATAAAGTGTTATACCGATAATATACATATTTAGTTCAATTGTTGCTTTGAAGAAAAAAAAAATAATATATTTTGAGAAACATCTTTAACGCAAGAAGTTTTTACAATGACTCATGGATCCGATTTGGATTTTACTGAAAATATTAATGATGGAAACAATCATTTACAACAACCAACAAATGTGATCCAAATGGAGCATACTCGAATGGAATATAATCAAATAGAACATAATCAAATGGAACATACTTCAAATGCTCCATATAATAATAACTTTAATATTTCTTGCAACCCTTCAGATACAACAACTTACAACACTGGCAATAACGAAGGGTCCTCTTTTATGGATAATCAACTTGGTACTTCAACTCAATACTATGATCCTACGTTCACTACATCGTATCACGCGCCGCAGTATAACTCTCTTCTTGATGATATTCAATTCCAAAATAACTTCTCATCAGTTAATATTCCTCAGACGGATAATTCTGAGATCTTTAGACTTAATATTCCCGGTTTCAAAATCATCGTTATACCTAATTCTGTAAATTTAGCTAATTTGGATTTACAAAATTTGTTTCCACAAGACTCTAACCCAAATATCGTTACTATTCATTTGATTTTAATAACTTTTAGTAACTAAATTTCTTTTTATCTAATTTATATTATTATTATTTCTTATCTGTATTTTTTAAATATTTTATCATGTATTCATTATATAAATAAAGTTATATTTATTATCTAATTCTTAGCTATTAATATTTGCCAAGGGCTTAGGCCAAAATCTAATTATAATAAATAATGTTGGGATGCGGATTCTTTAAAACGATCTAAGGCAAAAGAATTATATGTTTTATTTGCGAATTTATATGATCGATTCCCGGCAATTCTTGAAATTTCTTTAAAATCCGCTTCAGGGTTTTTGTCTTTAATTTATCCTGTAAATCTTTTCGAAATAAAATAAACGCATTTTGAGGTCGAGTTATTCTACCTTTTTTGCCTACCAGACCTAGAATCATTACAGATGATATAATAATTTTTGTACTGTTATATACATTTTACGTAAATAATTTTTGTTCTTTAATGTTCTAAACTTTAGAAAATATTGAAAAAGTCCATAAATTATTGTATGAAACTGATAATATAATTAAGAAACGTAATTCATAATGTCCTTTTACTTTTAACAAGAGAATCTGGTACTTAAATATCATTAATCAAATATTTTTAAAGACAGAACAAATTTAATGTGAAATTTTTAGTTTGGAACTTTAACTCATAAAATTTATCGTAATTTTAAACAAACCTGCATGTTGGAGAATAGGGTATATTGAAAAAATTAATTTTTATCTATCCCTTAAACTGTTTTGCAGCCAAATTTGCCTGCAATTTTGTTTTTTAATTAAAGACACTTTTAAATACCTTAAAATATTTTATTACATAAACCAATATTTTTGTAATAAATTCTATAGTATTTTCTAAGTAAAAATAAAAAAAAAAATAAAATTAAATAAAAAATTTTTAAAAGTAAATGATAGACAAATTATAACAAATAGTAGCTAAATTTTTTAAATTGAAATATCTTTTTATCCATTAACCCTAGAAATATAAAATTACCACCATTTGATGCGTCTTAATGAGAAGAATCTGATATAAATAAAATTATCCTTCTACAAATATTATGTGACAGGATAACTTATAAAATCTAAAAATTTATAGATTAATATAACTTTTTATTTGTCAATTTTAGAGTTATGATTTTATTACCATTAAATGCGCCTTAATAAGAGGAATCTAACAAATATAATTTCATCTTTCTATGATCACTAGATCTCAAGATATTTTAAAAATTCTAAAATTTTTAAAATTAATTTTAGTCCCTACAGTTTGAGGGATAGTTTGGAAGCAAATCACAAGAACGTATATGTATTTATAGCAACCGCGACCTAAAATAAGATATTTCCACATCTTTTATTAAAATGAATCGAATTATTATAATTTTTGAAAATAAATTTTCAAAATTTTGAAGAATCTATCATCTTAAATTAATGCATTTAATAAAGGGTAAACAATAATGTTATTTTATTAAAAAAAAAAGTGTAACGTCAGTCATCAGCTGATATTTAATTTCTTTATGAGGTATTGAACATTCACTACTCATAGGATATTATTTATCTAACTATAATAATATCTCAAAATATTAATGTTATTAATAAAGAGCGTTAGATCTAGAACCAAAAAGTAAAAATCCTGTATAAAATTTGCATCTTTTCATTCCGAAACCATTGAATTAAAATTATTATTTATTATTTAATTAATTGTGAATATGTATTAGAGTATAGGACAAGATAGATATATTGAACGCAACTTGAATCACAAATAAATGACTCAAAGAGGGACAATATCAAATCATTTTAGAAGAAACATAACCTCCATTAATGTACATCAGTGATCGTAAACTAAAAAAAAAATCAGAGAATTAGTTTAACTTTTAAATTGAATTTCAGATCATGAAATTTCAGTGAAACATTTTTACCTTTTGGGAATATTTTCACATCCATCATCATTATCAATGATTTGGAGAACATCACGTAAGCATGCAAAAAATTTCTTGTTGAACTTCGAATATTTTTTTGATATATTTGGCCACATAGATTACCGTCATCAGTATAAGTTTATCACTTTAGGATTTAATTCTTTTAGAAAAATTATTTCAAAGTAAATGACAGGTTTTGTAACATTCTAAATCTTCAATTAGGTTCGTTCTATTATTGATAAATTATAAATGTCAGTAAATTTCAAAGAAAAATATTATATAACAATCCATTTCGATTAAAACGAGTCCTTACTAGGAATATTCATATTTCTTTTTGATTTCAATCAAATTGCAAATTTGTTATATAATTATTTTAAGATATTAACCATATATTTCCGTTGCATATGTTTAACCAAAATCGTTAAATGAAAAAGAGTATCGAAATCAAAGCTTTAATATTAAGGAAAGTTCCAGCTTATCATTAGTTTGAGTATTAAAATGTTCCTTCTGGCGTAACAAGACATTATTTAATTAAAAATAAATATTTTACCTTCTTCTAAAAATCATTAGAACTTAGACTTTTATGAAATTAAATGTTCGTTGTTTTTATTCTACAAGTTATTATTTCTATTATAGTTAACATTTATTATCTTTTCATGTCGTGTTTGAGATATTTGAGTTTCTGAAATAGTTGTTTAGAATGTTCCTCATAAAATAAAGGGAAAATGTAATTACAAAGTGCGTTCGCATTGCTAAAGTAGGATAAAACCTTGTTAAAGACCTAAATGTAATAAATAAAACTTATTTCTAAAAAAATTTCTCACTATCACGGGTTATATTGATTTTTCGATACTTATTTTTACCATGTGATTTATTTGGATCACATAATTGAGGTAAGGGAGAACCAAAGAAATCTTATTTTCTTTTTTTCTTAATAGTTTTGACACAGTTACATCATTTTGGAAAAAATTTGTTTATTGTTTCTAATAAATAAAAAAATTATTTATAAACTGTTTAATAAAGCATTTTTTATTAACTTTTACATGTAATTTAATAATACAATGTAATTCGCGGAGAAGTATAGAAACGAAATTAGAATGAAGTTAAAAGAACGAAAGAATCCTTTCATTTAAAAAGAAAAAAAAAAAAATTTTTTTCGTTTTAATCCATTATTTAAAAAAATTTTTTACTTTTCGTTTCTTTCCCTAATTGGCAGTTCCTTTTGTTTATAAAAAAATTCGTTTTTTCTTTCCCTCATTGGCCATTTCTTTCGTAATTTAATAATATTTTAAACACTAACTGTTAACGTAGTTAACAGGTGAATCCTAGTAATAATAATAATTATCGTGCTCCGCTGTATGATGTTGATGATTTGTAATTTAATTATTTTTTATGCGTAAGTTTAATAATTACAATAAACTATATTTAAGCTATAAACAATACATGTGTTATAATTATTAATTATGGCTATTAGGATTATTATTGAAAATAATAACAGAATTGATAAAAACTTTATCAGCTGTTAATTTCGAAACTAATTCTTCCAAATTTTGACTTTTATTTTCTTGAATTTCATTTAAATCTTTTAATGGCCTTCTTGTAACTTTAATATTACTGTTTGCCGAATTAATAACTTCACGATTATCTAGAAAAAGTTCAATTTTGTTAAATTGATTATCAAAAAATAGAATAAAATTTTAGAATATTACCATTAAGCAATGATTTTGCAACAACGAAATTGTCTGTTGATAAAGTTGATTGTTCCATTGATTCTTCTATAGAAGAAAATTAGAATGCAGGTCATTTATTAATGATTAAAAATTTCAAATTTTTACCTGATCGAATATTATTTTTATTAAAACCAAATGCTTCAACAAGGTTAAAAGCATTATTTCGTTGAATTTCAGTTTCTGGACGCTCATATCTAGCAAGCCCTTGCTCAGACT